GAAGGAGATAGTGGTGGTGGTGGTGGTGGTTGTGGTGGTGGAGGGGGCAGCGGCGTTGGCGGAGAAGGCAGTGATGGAGGCTTCCGGCGCGCTGTGCGGCGAGTGCTCCATCTGCAGCGGGATCAGGTTGCGAATCGACGGGAAGCATCATGACTACCAATTTCGGAGAAATGACAACACTCCTTTCACATGAAACTTTGTTCAAGGGTCCCGGAAAGTGAAAATGTGTGCGGCCTCTGAGCGGTCCCGAGCTGCATGGCGCGTTCGAATTGTGCTTGAAGTCTAAAAGTACTCCCTTTACGACGGGGACCAACATGACAAACCGTAGTGCGAGCAATCTGGAATTCATATCATTCCAATAATACAAGTCAACAATCAATAATACAAGTCAATAATACAAGTGAACAATCAGGAAGGCCATGCCCTAGACGCCTAGCTCGAAATTACTTACATCATAATAGATATTTTGAAAATAATAATAATACATCACGACACTTTTAATCTTTTTTGATTATCAAGAATGTGAGATAGGGCAACAAAGCATGAGTTGCCATATATCCCGCTCATTGTTGGAAAGAAACTTATCTTAAGATCACATGCCTTCTCAAAATTGTGCACTTTTCTAGCAGAATATCTCATCTAGTCGGTCCCGAAATGGAGGCCGCAGGTTTCATGCTAAAAATGCATGCACGAGAGAAGTAGAAAATACATGTAACACTTAAGAACAAAATAATTACAACAGAGAAATATGTAGGCTGTATACCTAAAACCTGTTGGCATGGTTGCATTCAATTGATAACTTTGTTCAACTGATTGCATTCGACGCCAGCTACACACAATGCACGCACGAGGACATATATCAAGAAATGCAAATTCAGTCTTCTATTGTAATGTAGCATACGCGCTACATCCTCTTATTGCGACGGCCGCACCAGCACACGTCAAAAACTTCCCCTCGCGGATGAATACAGTACATTCCCTAGAAAGACGAGTGACGGTGAAGCGTGGAAGCGGCTCTTGGCGTGGCGAATCCCAGCGAGCTGCCCTCAACGGCGGCCACGTGCTCGTCCGTCACGCCTCCTTGCTCTGTAGAGGGCGCCGACAGCTCGCGGGGCAGCGGGGTGGGGGTGTGGTGGGG